ATAGCCCTTACTAAGAACATAGAAGGAAATACTCGGCAGTCGATGGAAAGAAAATACGACTTTAGCTGGACAGCCAAAGAGATCACCTATTTGTGTGTTATAATTACAGCAGACTCTAGGCGGGCTATGGAGGCTAATTTTTTAAGACTCTTGAAAGAGTTATGAGATTTCTTGGTGGGGTAAAATAAACACCATAAAGGCATACATTATTCGGAAATGGCTATTCTGCATACTTCCCCTCTCTGTATCCAAACACTGGTTGACTATTATACAGTGTATCATCACAAACTATATATGGAGAGGTAAAAGATTGAGAATTAATACTTCTGTTTTGTCGAAAAAGGGATATCACGATGGTCTGGGGTATCCATTAATTGTTCAAACGTTCCAGGCCAACATGATTGTACACATTTATAAATTACAATTAAGTGAGTTTAGGGAACCAGCATGTTACAAACTAGAATCAAACAGATTGGGTTTAGATAATATGGCAATGCTCCTCTGGTGTGAAATCAGCAAGAATAAAAAAAAAAACATTATTATAACAGGACACACTTCTCTAGTTCCTCTACATCCTGATCGTACACTGCTTTATGGCAGCCAAGACTCTAATTGCCAGAAATTGGAAAAAAGTCTGTATCTCGACTAAAGAACATCTTAAAACTCAACTGATAAATCAGCTTGAGATGGAGAGGGGCATAATTCTCACCAATATATATTCTAATCGCAGGTATCTAGAAACTTATACGATCCTTATTGATAAGATCAAAGGCTTTTGAGACGTTTCCTTGAGCCAGCCCTCTTGAGCTACTCATCTTTTGACCTTTTATTAGAAATTTAGAGTAACCTCAACTAAGTTGGACCCTACGACTGTTTTTGTGTTCATGTATCTGTTTTTATCCTTGTCTTCTGTATTGGTGTTTTGCACTAGTGATTTATGAAAGGTTTACAATATCGACCCAAAATGGTGTAAAACCAATTAATGAATGTTTGTTTGTTAGTTCTGTATACGAACTTTGTGTGTAAAAAAATATTTTTATATTAAGTATTTTACGATTAAGTTATGAAGAGTTTTAAATGTATCCATCATCATCAAATAGTAACTAAAATTCAAATATATATTTACATTTTAAGAATTAACAAAGGCCAATAAAATGTGTACATAACTAAAATACATGAACTATGGATGCAATCTGTGCAGCCAATTGAAGGCCCAATGGGTTGTAAGGGCCTATTTGGACTCTCACAGTTCAAAGTTAGGGGCAGATTTGCCTCTTCCGCCACATTGGTCATAGACTGAGAGGCCGTCAGGGTCCAACCACACAGCCAACTGGAAAGGGACTATTCAGAAACCTAATGCACTGCAAATTACTTCTCCCTACTGAGAGAGACTTGGTGGTGGTCCCGTTCTCCTTTGCCAGGCCTCCTCTTTGCTCTGTGTGATGATGAGTGGTGGTGATCTCCTGCTCTTTCCCTTTACATAGAGCGATATCTCAGCATGTAAGAATTGTGAGACAAAGCAACAGCCTGGCAGAAGCACCACATGTGCTAAGGGGTATGATGGGGAAGAGGCACATTGTATTTGGGATAGCTATAGCGATCTGCAAGTACAGGGAGCAAAAGGTAAAATGGAGACAAAAGGGGCTGGATATATGGAGAGTATAAAAAGACAGGTGGAATCAGAATTCATTTTTATTTGTGTAACAGATGTCCTGTTCATTGTAATTATAATTTTGTTGCTATCCTGAACTTTTACTCACACTTCCATTAACCTAAAATGGTATACGAATTGAAACGAACAAACCCAGTTAGTTCGTAAACCGAACATTTTAACGAACATTTTGACCACCAAAGACAGTCGTGTGCCGTCAATTGACATATTTGGCACTATTCCAAACTGCAACTCTAACATTCTAATTGGTTCACTGGGTGACTGTCGATTCGTATGCACATACATGCGGCGGCCATCTTGTTTTGTCGAACGCATCCAGCAGGGTTTGGGCGTCGAGTGTCTTGTCTCGCGCTTGTAGGGAACCTGCTTCACAACTAATGTAAGAGCTCTATTACCTACTCGGATACTTGGTCGGCTGAGAAAACATCTGGAGAATACTGCAGCACAGCTCCTTCTAAGGGAAAAGGACGTCCCTAACTGCATACGGGTGGCCCTTACAATTTGTATTTATTATTTAAAGCATTTCCTGAACAGTGACTATTGATTTCTTCAATTTGCTGTCAAAGTTGTCTTTTCAGTTTTCTTAAGTCTCTACGAGAAGCCTTTGACTGGACGTCTGTGCTTCTCCCGTTACGTTAGATGGGGGTGTTCCAAGAAGCACCAGGAGCGTTGTGCGCTCTGGATTTAGGTAAGTAAAAGCTTTTTCTCTAAACCTTTTTTAAGTGTCTTTTAGGGGAGAGGGGCCTTAAAGAATAATGCCCAATAGGGCATTATTGAACGAACACAAAAAAAGGTTTGGAAATACCCTGTAATGTTCGAGTGTTCCTTTAATTACTGCTAGCTTTACATTAGTAACTATCTTTATAAGTTTAAACTTGTAATTTTGCTTGGGGGCTATTAAATTTTAATAAAAACAGGTGGGGGGCATCCTAATGAAAGAATTACTTGAAAAATTAATTGCTCCCATCTGCTGGCTACTGAAGGGTGGATAGTGATCTGTCTAACCCCATTTTTTATGTAAAGTCCCCCATCCAATGACCATAAGTGGAGGCATGGGGAAGTTTAAAACCAAGGGTAGGCAACGTTCGGCACTCCAGATGTTTTGGGCTACACCTTTCAATATGGCTGTAAGAGCATTATGAGAGAGGTAGTCCACAACACCTGAAGTGCTGGAAGTTGCCTACCCCAGCCTTGTAGTAATATGGGGGACTTTATTTTACTTTTTTTTTATGGGCCATATGGTTAACTCCTAATGCTAAGAGGATTATTTAACTATTTGCCCATTGGCTGCTGGTGCTGATTGCGGAAAATAACTTAGATTTTTCTTTTTTTTTAAAGCTGAGCCTTCTCATTGTTATTAGGGTGATGGAGGGTAGGCAGAGTTAATTTATTTTAAGAAGTGTATGCTAGGGGCTTGGGAACCCCTAGCTACTTGGGGGTGGCATGGCTGGTCCATGACACTAACTGGGGGAAGACAATAGCATGTCCAATCTCCCCTTGTATTTTATAAACTGCTATGTTTATAAAAAAATGGGTTAACCCTAGCTGGACCTGGCACCCAGACCACTTCATTAAGCTGAAGTCGTCTGGGTGCCTAGAGTGGTCCTTTAACAGTAGGGAACGTGAAGGCTGTCCAAAGAGACAAAGTATCCACTCCCTAGCAGAAATGAAGTACCTAAAATGTCTCAACAAAGGGATACAATCCCCATGTAGGTAAAGCATAATCACAGAGGCTAGCAGGTCAGGAGAAAGAGACCTGTCTACCTATCAGGCAAACACCCAGATAGCTATGCCATGGAGCCTATTCGTGTAATAGAAGACTTTGGTTCCATGGCGATTGAACTGTATGTGTGTGGTCTGAGCTCCATTCAGTAATAATGTGCGCTCAGACCTAAGCTATCTGGGGATATGTTGCATGTCTGTATTTTATGTAATAAATGTAACCTTGTGTATTGTATTGTACTTTACTGTCTTTTTACTGCCATGTGCTTAATGGAGTTTTGCCTCTGTCCTTGGAGATAATTGGATTACTTCCCAATTATCTCCAGGATAGAAGACTCTGTGGAACTGGTTTTGGGCAGAAAAGCCATGCTTCATTTGGTCACAAAGGGCTTCGATCTATCTTTTGAACCAATGGACCAAGTTGGATGATTTTGACATATGTTTGTATTTGGAGTATGCTGATTTTATGTGAATGTGATGCATACTTTTCAAGTTATGAATAATGTGGAAAAACTGTATTTCTCTGGCTGTTATAATTACATTACCCATTGTGTAAGGTAATTGTATCACAGGCAGAGAGGAGGATTTTGTGTGGGAGTGTCTGAGTGTATTGTACGTGTTTATTGGTTGTTTTCCAAAACCCTGTGGGTGGTACTAATATTTATATAAGAACAATAAACCCACAGCTCTGACTGTTCCTGCTTGACCCTCAAAACGGAGCCTTATCTCGTTCTTGGGGGGATTTATGGTATGCTGTTCTAGTTCGACTGCTAGGAGTGTAAACCTAATCGTATGTTTTTTCCTATTCGGCTGTTTACGGCATTCATATGGTTTCCTGTTCGGCGGATTGGTGTTCTGCAGTAGCTGTGCCTGTGTCTCTGGAAGGGAAGATCTACTAAACGGCGGTTTAACCCTTTTATGCCTGGGGGTGCCGTTACATACTGACATTAAGTGCATTTAAGTCCAGTATCTCAGGAGTGTATATTGGAGACTCTTAACACTATTTAACTGCACTCTGTGTATATACTTTATTTCTCTTTCTTACATTTTATGGGGGGAAATTTATAAGACCAGGCATTTGATTAAGGGGTGCCCTTGAAGGCACAAGACACAGGAATCCTATTCTATACGCCTTCCTCTGTCACTGACTATGTTAATTTTTCTATCATTCAGGCAGCTTGTTTGAAAACTGTGTAAAAATCTTTTGTTTTCTTTAGACTTGGACTTATTTTAATGCAGTTATCATTTAGGCAACATTTGTTACTATTAATGGGTTAACTGCTGCCTGTGTCCTTCATAGCTAAACTACTAATTTAGTTCCGCTGTTGCTATACTATAATATACTGCTTTAGATATTTTTCTGCTAAACGGAGTCAGCTCGGCAACCCCTTATCTCATACTTTACTGCTTGACAGTAACCTCTAATTTATGATCCATACTCTGCTACTCTATAGGCAGCTTTCGTGATATTTAACTAGCTAATTGCCATGTAATATTTTTCACTACGTATGATGCGGTATGAGACATAATGTTTACGTGCATATCCATAACAATAAATCACACTACTCGTTTCTATTTTTAACAAAAGTCACAACTTTATTAGAGTCAAGAAAGTTGTTTTATTTTTTGCCTTTTTGTTGTTTTTTTTTCATTCTTTTTCTTTAAAAAACCATAAAACATATTCTATGCAGTATAAAATAACAGTCTCTCAACTAACACGCTGAGATCATTTCAGCCCCAGGTTTGCTTACGTGATCATAACTGGCGTGGCTTTTTCTTATGTCAAATATTCAAGTGTATGTTCTGATTCACACACAGTGATAAATGTTACTCCTCATAAAATGCAAAGGTGCAGAAAATCTGTGATGCCATTCTGTAATATAATTTCATTGATATATTTAACTCTTTAAGTGCAGAAGGAGTGAGTAAATCAGCCAGTAGCACATCTCACACCTTCTACACCAGTGATGGCCAATTTCGGCAACCCAGCTCTTGTGGTCCCATTATTCTTAGCCTGGAAAATTGATTATGCAAATCATTGCTCGTGTTTATCAGCAAGCAAATATTTTCCACAACATTTGGAGTCAACCAAAGGAGCCAACAGTCTCCAAGGGTTAATGCCAGAATGTAAACTTGTCTTTCAAAGGAGGGTTATTTGCATAGTTACCCTGGGGCATTTTGTTTGTTGTGCATTAGTAATATCGATGGTGGTCAGACAGAATTTAAAGCAGATCTGTAACTTTTCAGTATTCCAAATAAATATATATTTTTTTATAAAATATTGATTAAGATTGTATTGGAATGTCATAAAAATTCCAACGCAATCCAAAGATACTATAAGAAAAACTAGGGACTACTTTGCCTTATGGACAAGCCTCAGGTTGACTAACGTTGACAAAAGGCAGAGCTCTGCTGTCAACTTTTGTTCATTCCTAGCAGCCATCATTAGTAATAGCTGTGGGATTCAGGTATTATCTATGGACGCTATTGAAGACTCATGGGATCGTCCATACACCTCAGTGTTGTACTCTTGTGCATACGCGAAAGTACAGCACTTGAGGCTCCTGGTAGCTGAAGTGGACCTGGAGAAGAACCTGTGGGACCAAGATGGCGGCAGCCGCAATGGACAGCTTGAGGTTAGAAAGTCTTACGTTCCACTTCAACCTGCGCCCACCAGACCCACACTGGATCTGGCACTTTTGGGGTCTTTGCAAAATATGCAAGGACCCTAAAAGTGACAGATCTACGTTAACAGTCTAGGCTTGATGGGTTTGGTAAACTACATCGATACTAGAGTTCCCAAGCCTATTATTGGAAGTGTTCTATAAGGAGGCATGTCCTCTCTTGAAAGGAGAAAGAACATTTGCATTTTGTACAATTCATGAGGATTTGTTTATCATCTTCATGTTTGTGTAAGAGAAATTATGTTGCTTTTATATATAACATAACACTGGTAGATCAATTTTGTGGGTCTCTTTAAATATTAGGTGGACATCTGTCTTTTCTTTTTAATTATTATCAGAATTTCTTACATATCCAGAAATAAATGTGTATAGGATCCCAACAAATGGGCTATATTTGCAAAAAAAAAAAAAGGTAGTTTTTTTTTTAGTTGGGGACAGTATTACAAAATTTGGGACAAAATAGCAGAAATTAAAGAAAATATATTCCGCTTACTTGAACCTTGAAGTTTTGTAAATTCCACTCCTTTTGAACAGATATTAACTAAAGTAGGACTAGGACAAATATTGTTCGATTCTCTAGTAGCTAGTATCTACATAGAAAAAAATAATATATGCATGTAATAAGATGCCACTTCTGTTTTACAGCATATCACTTATATCTTGATTCTGATGAATGCCTTTAGGGTGAAGGACGGACATTTTTTCCTTTCAATATGCAAAGCAAACAAAAATTGAATTCCCACATAAATCTGTTCGCAAATTTTCCATATGCATAAAGAATATCTGCAAAACTATGTAAAACAAGTGAAATGGCCACTGCAGATAATGATCTGATTTTGTTTGTTCAATGTGAAAATGGACTAATTTCATCACCAGGATTTTCTGCAAGTGAATCATGTACCCAATCGATTTGCCCTGATAAATGAGTTATAACCAGCCAACTGTAATATAAAAAAGCATACAACCAAGTGTATTAAAAATATACAAGCAACTGTAATAAAAAGAGATCTAGAGGTCTTTTTACAAGACACAAGACATCAAATAAATTAAAATAAATAATATAAATAAAACATAATTTTAAAAAAATCACAATGCAAAGAGAAAACAAATATTTGATCAAAATAATAACAACTATATAATAAATATTAATCAAATAAATAGAACAGTACAATACACCAGAATTCATGAGCAATTTGGGCCAAGTTAAGGTTTCCGCTTTATAAAGATTACACTATCAGGGTCATTCACTAAAGTGAGAATTCAAGGTGAATTTAAAATATAAGACCAAAATAGCCAAACTGGGAAATTTCTCTGTCAGCTTTGCTTTCATCTCAGCTACTCTGGCCTTAACTGTGAAAATCATTGGAATTCTCACTTTTGTAAAAACCTTGAATGCTTTTTTTGTCTCTATATCACATAAGGGACTAATTATACCCTTAGATCTGGCTTGCCATATTGTGTTAACAAAGTCTCTAATAAATGTAGTAACAAACAAGAGCTTTAAACCAAAATAATTTAGATGGATTTGTTTAAACAATTTTTTTAGCTTAAGTTGTGCAAATCAGGTGCTATCTTACCATCCCTCACCATTTAGCCCACCGGCCTTTATTGTCTCAACAAATCTTGTTTGTATGGTAGTTAGTGTACTGGCACAACTAATTAATCTATGCCAGAAACACCTGACTTTGATTATAACTACTACATTGTTGTTGAGATCTTTGACCTGTATAATATAATGCTAGCTAGGTGCTATGAAAGGGGTAGTTCCATTAGCCCAAATAAATAAACAAGCAGTATATCCACTATCCTACATAAATACACTAAACCAAAGTATATTAAATTATTTAAATTGTTTCTCTTTAAAATTTGGTGCAGGATACATGATATCTCAAGGCTACTGAATTGAGAAAATTGAAATTGCAAATTATATTTTTACTGAAATGGCTTCCACTGTTATTTTTTAAATAATATTTTTTAAAGTGATTTGCAAAGTTATGGGCATCTAGAGGTTTATACATAGAACTGTAAGCTGTGGTTGATGTCAAGTCATCAACTGACTAAAATAGTCAACAATCGTCATCTATGATTGCCACTTTGTTTTCAACGTATTACAGATCACTGATTGATTAATAAAGCCCTTACTCTTTAATTTAATTGACGCTAACAGCCAGTATTTAATTTCTGGAGATTATGAACAAATCTCAAATTGCTAAACATTAAAGGGACACTTCACATCTCAAATGCTTAAAAAAAAAAAGCAAATAAATAAAGATCACTGTTTAGAAGATATACCCCAGATGAAAATATGCGTTGTGTAAAAAGATTAATTTATAAAAGTGTCAATTCCTATTGAAATCTGCGCTTTTTGTAAAATGAAAAAAAAGAGGCCATTCATCACACATAAAGCATTCAGCAAGCTTAAGGGTGTCTCTTTAAGATTGTTCAAAGGGTTCGGCTACTGTAACTGTATAGGTTTTTTGTTTTTTTTCACAATTAAGATAGGCATTCTGGCATAGCCATTGTATGTAAGATGTTGTGAGCTCACAGGATTCCATAAAGTACCAGACTTCATCTCCTGAATGAAAGTTTAAGGTAAATAATATCAAATCATTAATTCCCAGCAATTCCCACTCCAGTGAATAATCCTGTGAATTAATACATTAAAATCATTATTTGTAAAACTGCTATGTTTAGTGCAAGATATGAAAACTTTGTTTATTTTATTTTCTCCCTCGTGGAAACCAGAAAGGTTTATATCTCGTGGGTGGATTTAGAATCTTCCAAGTGCTTATACTGATTTTGCTGTTATAGATGCATAATTCATTAGTTTTTAGAACATGTTGATTACCATAACATCACCATAAGGAATGGGTAAAATGTCCACCTCTTAAAGTGGATAATTAAATCTATTACCATGAAATTCGCCCTGAAATTGTCCCATTACCAATGCATTGTTCACAATTATAACTACTCAACAGAACTCAAACTGCAAACAATGAAACAATGCTACAAGTTGAAATTTAAAAACAATGAGAAGATAACTCATGGGAAGTGTACATGATTGCAATGTGCTAAAATATAAGAAATAGCAGTCAATGTCACAGTCAAGAAAGTCATATGAGAAGTAGATAATCACTCTACAGAAAAAATAATTGGGTTGCTCTTTTCTTCTCTCACCACCCATTAGTCCCTCAGATTCAAGTCTTTCATTTATTCACTGAAAATAGCATGGTGTGGGTATGTTTCATAGGGCATATCTATGGGAATTTCATATCGTGGAACTGCAGTTTGAAAGTGCGGCCCATGTCCATGAGATCCACCAAGTCCAAGAGATTGATAGTGAGAGCGGAAAGCATAGGACTTGTCCATATCAGATGACCCATCTTGCTTTAGAGAAAAGTTACCACTGATGCTAAGAGGAGGAGTAAGAGCACCTTCATATGGCGGGGTGGTACAGTTTAACGTATGGTTCACCATGGAAGAATCCACCACAGATTTAAATGTGGGAGGCTTTAAGTGCAAGTGATGTGCTTCGATGTTACCATATGGCGGACTGGGTAAGCCTGGAGATTGATAACTGTACGTGTGTCCAGGTAGGGAAGATTCACATAAATGGGACTTCTCTTCATGCTTCTCAAAAAACATTGTCTGAGGTCCAAGTTGAAGACAGCCAGCTACCAGGTTACTTGTGGGCTGAGAGAGTCCCTTACAAAGCATTTCAAGGAAACCTTTTCCTTCAGTTGTCTGGCCTCTGTCTAATACCTCAGACAATGCCCATATGTAGTTCCGAGCCAGTCTAAGAGTCTCAATCTTCGATAACTTCTGAGTTTTAGAGTAGCAAGGCATAACTCTCCTTAGGTTGTCCAGTGCATCATTAAGCCCATGCATTCTGCTACGTTCCCTGGCATTGGCTTTCACTCGTCGGACACGGAATCTCTCCATCCTAGCTTTTGTCATCTTCTTTTTCTTAGGTCCCCTTTTTTTCGGTTTCTCTCCATCTTCCTCCTCCTCTTCATCATCTTCTCCATCAATGCTTCCATGTTCTTCATGACTCATACCTGACAACATATCATATGCAGACTCCCTTTGATTTGACTCATTCATCTCATCCTGTGAGCTCAGAGCCTCCTCCATCCACCCATGTACACTAACCATCTCAGACATTGATCCAAAGATAAGTCTGAATGTAAAGCTAGGGTCAGGAAGTCTTTTTTTGTTTTTCTTTTTCTCAGATTTTTAATGTAGAAATCAAAATACTTGAAGGTTAAGATTTTTATTTTTTTCTCGATTAAGAGGTTGTACTTAAGCAATGTATATTGCAATGTTGCTATATTACATTCCACTTGCCTGGAGTTTTAATTGTCAAAGTAACCTGCAATGAAATACAAGAAGAAAGTCAATTTCCACTAATGAAATGTTTTACTTATATTTATATGCAAGGTTGATTTAATCAGGAAGAACCATTGATATTATTATTAACCTTCATCCATACACTTGCATTCTTGTGGCTAAGAAGATGTAGATTTTACAAAGTAACTGTGTTCTAATCTCTTAAGTGGTGCTACAACCAACCGGGGGCCACTTTCCATGACACTTATTAGTAAAGAATAGATTCTACTTTTTGCAAGTGACTTTTACTTGCTCCAATAAAAAGATCCCATCAATACACTGAACAATGGCGAACTAAAGGACGAATATAGTGAATTAAAGGAAGTATGAATTGTTAGGAAAGAAAGCAATTACACATTTACTCTAAACAAAAGTTAAATCTTACAACGGATTGCTGTCTTAGCTATTCTCCGCTATCTTGCAATAAAGAATCGTATTGTAACACAAAAACTCAAAAAGAGTAATAGGCTCAAGTGTGAAAGAAAAATATTATCGTCTAAAACAATTTTTTTTTATTCTGAACAGTTCATATTTCAATGACTGTGTTATAAAATTGAACATATTTTAAGCAATGAATAGAATACAATCAATTTTATTTTGAAGGCAATATATATAGCTGCTAGTTACATAGCCACACAGTATATTATTTGCAACTAACTTAAATGCAACTTCTCTGATTCACCTACACAGTCTGATTTTGTATTACTACACATATCTAATGACCTATGTCAGGGGTAAGCAACCTTTGGCACTCCAGATGTTTTGGACTACATCTCCCATGATGCTTTACCAGCATTATGGCTGTAAGAGCATTATAGGATATGTAGTCCACAACATCTGGAGTGCAGAAGGTTGCTTACCTATGACCTATGTTATATATCAAATACTTGTGAAGGTTAAATTCTATATGTATATATATATTACTATTGTTACTTTTATTTTGTCAGCAACATTATATTTCACCGTTCTTCACAGTTAGTGAAATCAGTTGAGAAAATATTGACCAGCATACATTTCATTGTCAGAAGGTTTGATATATATAAAAGGAATTAAATAAAAATAAAAAGACTGAAACTGCTGATTAATACAAATTGTAGTGAACTGTTTTGTTTAGTAAATCTGAGTTCATCTAAACTCTTTTAGAAACTCTAGCTTACTCATTTAGTATTGTTGGATTCCAATTTCAAATGGTTTTATATTTTTGGATAAACTTTTAAAATGATTTAATATTATAAACAAATGTTAATATTTTGATTTTACTTTTTATATTGATATATTTATGTATATGATTTTTTTAATATAATTAAAAAGAATTGTAAATGTTTATCCAAAATATTAAATTGTTTGGAAAACCTATCCAACAAAATGAAATGAAGGCCTGTGTACTGGAGTGTTGGGACAGAATAGGTTTTACAGGTAGCCTTTCCAGTTCCATATAGATGAGTATTTCACTGTAAAACTAGTGATACTACAAATTGTATGCATATTGATGATAAGAATCATTCTGCTACAGATTACAAGCAGTAATTTTATGTCTACTGCAATATTTTTTATTATGAACAAAGTGACTCATTATATTTTGTAATTAGAAATATAAAAGAAAATTTTAATATTTAAGTATTTATCAAGCTCTGTCTCCCATGTATTGCTTTTTTTATTGAAAATTTAAGTATGCATAATGGTAAAATAAATGTCTACCATTTAATAATTTCCTAAGCGCCACAGTAAATTGTACTATAACTATATTATGGTAATTTACATTTATATAGATACATCTTAAAGCAAACTCTTAACCCTTTGTTGTTGGACTAATTTCTCACCATTTTTATGATAAATAAATAAATTATATTGTAGTTGGGCTTTAACTCCCCTATGCTATTACTGATATTTTTTCACTTCTTTTTAAACATGGAAAAACAAAGAAATTCAGCTATTGTCAATAATGAAAGTGCTACTTATGCATAATGACAAGAAAAAATAAATCTATACACTACTTTCCAGAACACACAAAAAAATGGATCCTAGTATTTACTTTCAAATGACTAGGGAGCAAAGAGGAAACATAAAAATTGTCTATATAACAATAAAAGAATAAACTGTGCCTTGAAAAAATATATATAAATAATCATGATTTAAATCCATAACTTTGAACATTCTGTTTTACAATATTTGTGTTACATGCATTTTTTCTTTAAAGCCATTATAACCAGCTTTTGCACATAGACCATGTACTTTTTTCAATGCAGCAAAGTTGAGTTGGCAAAGATTTTGACATCAGATGTCATTGTAAACTAAAACATCACAGAATTAGACCAGCAAATTAGGGGCATTTCAAATGATCTCTCTACTAATTGATGTATTTTCATGCAACATTTTGACTCACTCTCATGACTATTCTTCTGAAAATGATTCTCTGTTTACAAACACAGAGCTCTCACATGTACAGTGAGACAGAATAGCATCACTGACAAAATAAAGTAAATTATGCTTACCTCGGTCTTTTAAAGTATTTTCTGTGATGTGATATTTTCTATTGCAGGCTTCTTCAGTGATGCACCTTTAAATGTCAGCAGTCTGTAGTAATTAGTACTGTTTCAGATTTCTGGATAGCTGGACAGCTCCCTGTCTGACTTACTGCTCTTGTATGCTGGACCAACTCAGCCCCCAGTCTCCTTTCACTTGAAAGGGTGTAGTTAAACCACTCCCACATAGGAGGCTTAACTCCAGATTTAAATCCCGTCTTCCTTTAGTATACATCATTTAACCCATGCATCACCACTACCATTTTAACCTAGCCAGCTGTTGCCTATCCCTGGTTGGATGAGTTCACAGCAGTTGGAGTGCCAAAAAAAAAAGTATGATAAATGTACAAAAAACCATGAAGCCTCAAATGTTCCCATGTAATTATTCCATAATATGGGGAAAAGTATAATGTGGCAGAGTTATTTTCGTCTGGGGTATGGGTATGTATCATTCTGTCCAGTTGGATTAATTGTTTGTGAAAATAACCTTTAAATTCCTCCTTCTAATACTAACACAAGTGGTGGTGGGTACAGATGTGAGGCAGGAAGGAAAAAACAGCTTTTAAATGCTAAGATTTATCACGGCAAAACCAAAAAGCTATCTTGGGGCAAATGGCCCAATGTAATTTTTACCTGTAAGAGAGTTCGATAAGTATTTAAAATAGAAAAGCCTTGGATTGTGTTTCCACTACAGTTCCAAAGGGGTTAAAAATGACAGATGAACAGATATACGGTCTCACTAATGCTTGGATCACTGAGTGAAGCTTACATGGTAGTTTTGTGTGTGATAGTTAATGCCTGTTTAATTTCCCTTCTTAGAACCCCCCCTAATTTTTAGTTCTGCTAAAAACTGAAGTATTGCAAGAAATATACCTATCAGCCATATAACTGAACATCATATATTGATGACTGGATCACAGACTATAAAAAACATAAAAACAAAAACAAGGATAAAGTGAGCAACATTTAAAAAAGATTCTCAAATCCATCAAGTTGGTGATCTAATTTTCAAACAAAGCTATATTGTCCTGAATTTTATGAATTTTGCAAATTAATTATCAAGCCAAGCCAACTCACTGTTTAGTGAAAAGTATTCAGTATTGAGTTACTGCCTTTAAAACCTTTAAAATACATATATTTTCATCAATCTCTATGTTCTCAGAGAGACTTCAACTTCTGGACCAAAACCAGCATCTTGATAAGACCTACAAAGCTGAAACTGTACAGTCCATGGCTGGTTTCTGGTTACTGGTCCTTGTGGATACAACCCATACTATTGTTAAAAAAAAAGCAAAAAAAAGCTTTGTTTATTGCTAGGAGGAACCTGCAAAACGGCCAGATGACATCTGAAACAGATGCTTGTCTGTGGTCATTTCATGTCAAGCTGGGAACTCTGGGATATTTGTGGAAACATTGTATTTTCCTTATCCAATTCAAATGATCATGAATTTAGATAGATTCCTCTGAATGGGACCTTCTAACTTGCAGTCTAATGTGCAACAATTGTTGCAAATGAATTCAGTTTTTTGTAGTTATGTGTAATTGACAGAGACCTCCTTTCACCACAACCAACACAATTAGTAAAGTTTATTATTGTATAACTTATGTTAGAGTGTCTCTTTAATTTCTTACATTTTAGATTTTATTAGCAAACTTTTGTTTAAAACTATCTGCATGTTCACAGAAATTCAAAGGAAATATAAGGGTTAAAGTCACAACAACTTTAATTTATTTTATATTTGGCTTCTGACATTTGAAAGGAAACTAGATCCTCATAACAGGAGTCTAAATAGGATATCAACCATGATAACTTGTGAATGAAGTGTACTTCATGAAAACGCTGGTGAAATCAACATTTTGCATTCTACACTAAACTCTCAAATTTAAAAATATGAATTTCAAATTGCCAAAAGCTAAGCTAGCTGCTCTGGAAAAAAAAATCTTCAACTCAGCTCTAGTCACGGTATGGCTGTTTTAGCTTTAATTTTCCATTTGCATTTAAATCACTAAAATTCTGAGTTTAAAGAATAAACCTGTTAGCATTCTGACAGTTTTATTACAAACTTTATAATAAAGGTGTTATTGACATTGCATCATATCACAACTCTAATGGCCTGTCATCTTCAATGATAAGGTTAATTCTATGTTTTTAATTAGATTAGCAATTTTGTTCCAAGGAGCAAGTGTCGAATTTAGTCTTTGAGCCTATTGCAATAAAAAAACCAACAAAAAACGAAACCCCCATGTTCTTTATAAATTATTTCCAAATGATATAGCAATAAATACATTTTGTATTTCACCTGCTCTTTTTTAAAATCAGAATCCAGGAACAAAATCTATCTATTTATCTATCTATCTATCTATCTATCTATCTATCCACACTCTCCTGGATCTCTCAAGTCTTTTAACCCCTTAAGGACCAAACTTCTGGAATAAAAGGGAATCCTGACATGTCACACATGTCATGTGTCCTTAAGGGGTTAAAGTGTTAATTTATTTATCAGGGTGACTGGCCAACCAATCAAGGGTTTCCTGCAATCCACAAAAAAATATATATTGTGACTAAATAGTATAAACAGCAAGGATTTCAAAGTTGATTTGAGCAACACACAACTTTGGGGACTTGGCTTTGCCACATGGCACCCACATGGTTAACTAAATAAAATCACAGGACATGTATGTTTATGGTCTCATTCAATATTTTATTTTCATATTTGAAAGACTAGTGAAGGTAAAAGTCATATAATTTTGAGTGACTCAATTAGAACATGCCTGATTTCTCAACACCAAATTATTTCTACATCTCTACTCAACATGTGATAAATGAGCAAGTGACAGATGTTAGGACATCGCATTACTTATTCTGATTGTAAGTGCAAAGAAGTGCTAGCTCCCTGGGAAATTACTTAACGCAGTGGAGTCATCTACGTTAGTGAATTAGTGGTGAAGGATAACTTTAAAATATCAGATTAATCACACAGGGTAAACCAATATTCAATAAAAGCTTGATGAGTGCATGATGAAAGTGTAAGAAAATTAAAAATGGCCTCTTTATATATTTTGTGTCCTCTTTGGTACCTGATAATGGACAACTCTATTGTCACATAATGATTAGTGATTCTGCCAGTTTATGGTAGATGATCAATTGTGTGAGGTAATTTGCCAAACCACTGGGAATTGTGGTGAATTGACAAGGGAATTGCAAATTTTAGCACAATAGAAAATAATTTCAAACAAATTCTCCGCTCAGCTATGACGAATCTGGCAGTTGATGGTGAATGCTGTTGGCCCTCGGTAATTACTGCTTTAATATTGATGCAGATAGAGGATATTTCTACCTTTCCTTTAAGTGAAAGTAAAGCTTTTGTGGAATCAGGCAGTTGATGATGGATGCCTCTGGCTCTTTTGGAAGTGTGTGAGAGGTGTGCGTTATTTTGGCAGTTGATGGTGTTTTGCAGTCTCTTGTAATATTGGAACATATTGGAATGTAGAGCACTTTCTGTAATAGAAAACATTAGCAGGATCGCTGAATTGTTCATCAATTAAATACTCCCTTTTCTAGATCGACATTTTATTAAGGACTTTGTTGGAAAAAAAAGGTTCTGCTAGTTTAAAGAAGATTTTTTTTTTTTTATCTAATCTACAAATCTTTCAAACTGGATGTCAGTTTACTGTTTAGTGAATAAATCTCTAGAAAAAAATCTAGAACAACCTCTATAAAAACATTTTCCCTATCTCATCCCATGTAACAGCCCGTAGCCAATTAACCCTTAAGTCCTGGATTGTCTTATGGAACAAGTATGTACTAAACACATAATGACCGCTGTCTGACATGCATGACATAAAAGAGGCTAAAATCACGGTATGTTGCTATGCACCCTGCAATCACAGATTTCCTGGTATATTTTACTGTTTACGGACTGCATCAGCTAGGGTACACCCACGGATTTGTGGATTTGTATTTTCTTGTGATACACTGTAACAGAGAATCATGTGCAAAAAGTGTCATCTGATACAGGTGGTATTCGTGAATGGTTGCTGTGTGTTCTTCAGCCTTGCTATCACTCTATACACAAGTGTAAATTACATTTATGTACAACACAGAAATCTAAAAGCTGTGGCTAGTTCCTACTCGGGAGGTCTTGTCCTAGGCAGTTATAAAGAAATTTAAAAATATAATCTTCAATAAGTACAAACAGTTCAAATGTGAGGGTCAGCAAGCCTATGCAGTTTCATCCACATCACTTAGTAACACAAATGGATGTGATAATCCAAAAATCTGAGGTATTTTAGATGATAAAATAAGGAATGTCAAAGTCTCCCGTCTGTTCCATCTCTTACAGGGCTATTTTACTAAAGTGTGATTTGTCAAGAATTTGTGGTGAATTACAAACTTTGGGGCAAATAACCAAATTGGAAAATCCAGTTATGTTCTGCTATTTTGTTCTAAAATTTTAAATATACTTATAAGGTGTGACAATTCACACCAGTGAACCTTCTAATCCTCCATAATATGATCAGCACTAGTGTACCTTCTTGTTTTCACTGTGGGCAGCTGTTTATATACCAGCAAAACAAAATCCTTAGAAATTAGCGTATACCGTTGTGAACTGACTTTTTTAACATTACATCTCAGTTTCCTTAACTCTTTCCCTGAAATGTTTTACACTTGACACTTTGAGCAGACAAGGACAACAGGTTAAATTTCCCATCTTCACTCAATACTCCTCATGTGTTACGGTGGTGAAGAAAAGGAGGGTGGGCTAGGGGGCTTGTTGTAGGAATAACAGCCTGCAGTGTTATGATAGGCCTTTTCCCCCCAACCAGTAGAGGAGAGCATATGGGCTCTATTTAGCCCACTTTCTGTCTGACAAGTAAGCCTGTCTTCTCTTTGTCTCTCGACTCTGTCTCTACCCGTGTCTCTCCACTAAGACCTATTGTCTTAAAGCAGTCACATCTGTTCCATGGATGTGATTTCAGCAACATTTTTGAAGGGACAGTCCGGTCAGCTGCCACTCCCCCTCCAAACTGTCAACTCAGCCATGTGACACTATTTAGATGTCAGTTCTCTGTGGTCTGGCTATCACTGATTTGTTTTTTTTAAAGCGCACAAAG